TACACATTGGCCATTCTTCAAAAATCTTCCACTGATAACAGCCCAAGAGGGAAAATGGTGGCAGTCTGACCTGCACTGAAACAGTGTTATCAGACTCAGTGTTGTTTTGGTCGAGGCCTCAAAGGGTTGAAGGCTGATAAGATGACGAGTCAGAGTGGCAACACAAAATGCAGGTGACTACATATTAAACACTGGCACCACAGATTCATTTAGTTTCTGTTGTCCACAAGCAAACAATCACTAGTACCAAAGTATGCCGATACAAAAAGGTACACAAACCACACTGGAATCCCCCACCTCTCTCCCAGGCACACACACGAGAAAATACACACAAATAAAGGCTGTTTTTGACCCATTCCCAGGAGGTAAATATATTTTGGTCTGTGAGTGTGTGAGTGTGTGTGTGCGTGCGCGCATGAAGGTCTGTGCCGCACTGTAATCCTCATGTGGTTTCACCTTCATGCCAGGGACCCATTTGTCTTCATTATCATCATACGGCTGGAGGAAGCAGATCTGTTAGGGCTCGTGGCAACAGTAATGCCTCTCTGTCTGGGTATAAAAAACAACTTCACTACTTGGACGTTTGTCATGTCACCCCAACGCAGGACCAGGAACATTAAGAGGGAAATACTGCCTCGTACCTCAATAAAAGTCCATTTCCAATATTTCCAGAAAGAGGGATGAAATTTTGACTTATGGCTGTGGTTACAGAGCTGTTGAGTGAGGGGTATATTTGTGCTTTTTTTTGTCCGCATTTTGTTTAATGTGGAATTTGTTTAACAAAACGCTAAGGCTTTGAGAGAATCACATCTGCAAAACTGCCACTGAGCTTTTGTTTGGGTAATAAATATGCCATTTCAATCCAGCTTTGAGTAAAACAAACAGAGAAACGCTTTTTTTTTTTTTTTTTTTTTACCCACAGTCCTTTTTAACACATCAGAAGGCAAAACTGCAAGCACCACAGAACCCCTGGAAGCATGACAACTTCGACGCTAACAAACTTGGACAGACAACGGATTTTCCTGGCCCAATTATAGCAGAAAATCTTCTAAAAAACTCCTGACTTGGCCTTGCAGAAAAATGATGGAGCCAGTATAGCTATGTAATCACAAGGCCAGTGTGTCACAAGTGTTTAAATGTTCACCAATCTGATCAAAGTCTCACTTATTACTCCCTTGCCCTTATTCGTTCCCACACATCTTTACCTCAAAACAACACCCTTACACCTCCTCAGTCTGAGGACCACCATGTCCGCATCCAGACAGGGCTGCCGTGTTTTTACTAGGAACACACCTCAATTATAAAAGCCCAGGAACAGAACTGTTATTTCACTAATCACCACTTCAAAACAGGAATCACATCTCAAGGAAAAAGCAGCCAGATTATCGCTAATTGCCTTCCAGCTGGCTACAGACCACATCACAGGTAGGATACACACAACAGCAGACATGTTTGCTTAGATTCCCTTCTCTCTGTGTGATGCCCATTACATTTTTGACCACCACCAGAGCAATTCATTACCCTCACCATGCCCCTCACAATGCAAGTCCATTGGTATGGAGATGGCAGCAGGAGAAAAGGTGAAGTAAAGCACATTAGCGAATTCCTAGATGAGGAAAGTGCTTCTGCTAAATTAGGAAAAGGCCCCCTCTGCTTCTGAAAAGGGTGAAGTGAATGGTCAAAGTGATGGAGGATGCAGCTAGAAAACATCCAGGTGGCCACATTATGAAAACAGGACTCAGACACATTTAAACAGAATTTAAATTGCAAAAACTCAGAGCAGCTGTAACTTTGGGAATGAAGTTGACATTCAGACTTACTGTCAAAAAGATAAATGCATACACAAGGAATCAGTATGACATGACATATAAGCATGAAAATGAAAAGGTGGGTGGGACTGTGTGCATGTGTCTATCTAATGTGTGTGCGTGTGTGTGTGTGTAGTGCAAGGCCGGGAGTCTCCCAGGCCTATAATTACACCCTGGTGGGAGTGAAGCTGATAACAGAGGCCTGAGGATATCAACGTCATAGCAAGGCAAGAAGGGGAGAGGAGAGGAGAGGATAGGAGAGGAGAGGCATAATAAAAGAAGGGGACAGTGCACAACATGATACCTTATCATACCGACTTCTCAGTGACAGTGCTTTTTCATTTCCTCCTTGATAGCAATCTAAAGACCCCTACAACACGTAAGCATGCATACACACACAAACACACGCAACATATACAAAGCTCCTTAAGAAGAAAAGCCACACAACACAGCCCACACAGTCTATGCGTTTTGCACTGACTAGAATAATTCAATTAAAAACCATGTAAGGCAATGCTGATTCTCAGAACCACCAAGTAAACCTCTTAACTGTGTTATCTTAGTCACATTCAGGCAGTAATCAGAGCGCCACAGCTCACTCTGACATCAGTCTTTCTAATGATTATCAGCATAGTTAGACATTTCTTTTAGTGATTTGATTTTCTGCATATGCCACAAACACCACACCTACTTCTGGACATTAACTACATTATCATTCAATTCATGTACATTATTATCATGTAAAATCGTCAAAAGTTACTGGGAAAATCAAGCTACTATGCGACATCTAGAGTTGCAACTAACAAGTATTTTTATGATCAATTAATCTACTGATTATTTTCTAGATTAAGATATTAAACAATTAAACAAACAAACAGCAAAAAAGCCTGTTTCAAGTTCCCAAAGCCAACGGTGACATCTTAAAATGTCTTGATTTGTCTGACCAACAGTCCAAAATCCAAAGACACTCAGTTTAATCTCATACAAGACTGAGAAATCTGCAAATATTCACATTTGAGCAGCTGGAACCACAAACTTTGGGACACTTTTTAGTTGAAAATCTATTAAAAAGATCAATCGATTATCATAATTGCTTCTGTACATGTCAGTTGACTGACAGATGAACCGACTAATTGTTTCAGCTCTACAAGCTCTGCACATTTGCCATAATGGAGTTATCTGCATGCATGTAATCATACCGAATGGAAAGCATTCACTGCAGGTAAAACTAATGTACCAGTCAGCCCTGACTGGCTGACCGTCCTTCTCATGACATCACAATAACAGCAACAAAACATTATATATGGAGGTGACGGTCCTTGAAAATGTTTCTTTCAGCATTGCAGAGCTCTGTTGCCATGGGGACATGCCTCACACAAAGAAAAAAAGAAAGTTAGGAAACATTGTCCTTGAGGCCCACTATTCAACAGTGGACTTAAATATGCTGAATCTTGTTACAGTACACAGCACAGTCTTTTATGCTATAGACTGGAGTACAGCCAGTCCTTCACAGCAGGCAGGAGTGCACCATAAGTTTGCTCCAGTGTAAATTATCAAGATAAAGCAGAGTGCAGCAGATTTACTATACCCTCTTGCTCAATATTACAGCAGTGATTACTAAAAATATTCTTACAGTAACTTCTCTTTGCATCCAAGGTTAAAGCTTACTTGGATTTACCCTTGAGTTCTCATACTGTACAACTAAGCTACTACAAAATTTTCTTTTTGGTGTACTTATGTCTGACTGAAATCAAAATCATGTAAAATGTAAAACAGCCTACATAAAAAGCAAACCACCTCACAGATGTTCTTTTCTGAAAACAAACCCATATCCATTCAGCACAACGTGACCTTATATCTTTCAAATGAGCCAGTGCAATGAGAGGGAGGAAGCAGGCTTTCAGCGTTCACAGGGGCAAGGACGGTGTCAGGGACCTTCCATCATGGTATTGTCCAGACTCTGTTTAGCCACCAATGAGGTGCCTCTCTCTTCCACTGTCTCCCAGTGGAAACCACAGAACATTTACAGGTCTCTGCCCATTTAGCCTCCTGCACAACAAGAGGACATTAGCATTTATAAGACTGGTGGTCATTCCCCTATTCAAGAGATAGAACCCACCGCCAATCCCTATGTGACCATGCAAGACACAACAGTGGAAATATAGTCATGCTCATGTAAAAAGCAGAAGCTTCAGATGAGTCATCTGTAGTTGTTGCTGAGATTGAAATGAACAGCCTAAAATGTCATTATTGTTTTTAAAACAAATGTTACAAAACAGCCATGGAGTTTGTAGTCTAATTTGTTGCACTTATACAGTAAAATGATTCATTAAGTAATTGACCTAAACTCCATGCTTTTAAAGCTGGGACTACTAATTCGAGTGTGCAACAGAGGACTTGCTGAAAGAGTGCAGTGGCTTTAAGTGGGTCTTTCATCTTCTTCTGTTTATTGAAAAACGAAACACGTGCCTCAAAGTGGCCCATTTGGAGAGGTGGGAGTCACAGTGTAGTTCGGGGCTGGCAAAAGGGTGAGCAGGCACAAAACAAAATCTGAGAAAACTTTTATGCTTTTATTATACTTTTTTTTGTTTTGAACAGTATTATTTTCAAAGTGGAGTGTTAAGACTTCAAGAGGAGTTTCTGATGATCTCCAGCAAAATAAAGGAAAAATATCTATTACATTGTTTTTGGGTGGCTGATCATTGGTTTAATTGTTCTCGTTTTGACTTCCCCTTTACACTACACTGTAGCCTGTTATGTAATTCTGTATCCTTCCAACTTCTGCCTAACAACAACAAAATCTGTGTCTTCGGTTTCATGTTTACTCTGAGGATGCCATACATGATAAAAGTTTTGACGACCCATGTTTCGAGGACTTTGCTGGGTGCAGCTTGTAACAAGTCGACTTGAAAGTAGTGCTCTAAAGTATTACCTTCACTGATAACAGCTATCAGTGTTTACAATGTAGCAACTCTCAGTAAATTCCCCACACGTGGGACAGACTTTAAACACAGCACAAGGAGGAAACACGCAGTCTCCGTACACACAAACAGGTAAACAAGAGAATCAAAGTTAGCCCCTTTCCTCCGAACACGGCTGTTGTCGTAAAGCCAGAGTAGCCTACATTTTTAAAGTACAATAGGTTCAGAAAATACAATACAACGTCTTGTTTTAGGTTAAGGAGGCACTCACCTGCGATACTAAAGGAATAAGCGTCTGCTCCACCGAGCGAGTTTTGATTTCCAGGCCGGAATCAAAGTTACTGTTGCCGCACGGAGATGAAGCCATTCCCGCCGAGCTCTCCCTGCCTGGCACACAATACACGGCACTAACTGAGTTCACCAAGAGGCTTTCCTTTGCTGTTTCGCAGCTGCAAACTGGTGTGACGGACTTGCTATTACACGCCGGGGTTTCTCACTTGGTTACACAGTCGTTTGTCGAGTGGCTTTCCTCTCACGCACGCTGCTTTAATCCACTCTGGCTCCGGTGGTTGTGCCGTTGCGCCCGCTAATGTCCATGTAGTTTACTCAACTACGGCGGGGAGCGGACTGCAGCACACCACTGTGGGCAACCACACACACACCGCAGCACGCACACACACCTTGAGGTTTCACTGCTGGCTGCTTATGTGCAGCTCAGTGACATTCGCAATGATTGCTTTGATTTTAATCTGCTTGTTCACTCACCTACAGCAGTTATGTAAATCAAGCCAAAACAGTTAGGCTATCTGTCAAACCAAACAATTTTGGAATAAGTATTTAAAATCACACCAACAGTGGTCTGTAGTGCATCTATCATTTAGTCTATAGTGTGCAAAAAAAAGGATTTGATATAGGATTTTAAAAATGTATCATCCATTCATGCAAATTTCAGAGGATTTTATATCAGAGTTTTGGATTTAAAAATTCATCATCCATCCATCCATGCAGATTTCCGAGGACTGTGCATCTAGTGCCCTCAAGAGAGAGGAGCAATGCTTTCCTCACAGCACTGCTCCGGTTTGATCCCCGAGACAAAGAATCCCATATTATCCCCTGGAGTCAGAGAATCCCTTATCATCCTCCCCAAATACACACCACATATGCCAATCAAAGCCAGCTGCACTAAGCCACACAGGACAGCTGCACTGACTCCAATGCAGTGCTTATCTCAAAAAGTTGCCTACTTTACCCTTTGTTTGTCTGAAGGAAGCATTAATTGTCATGGTCTTCCATCTACCATCTGAGGTGCTGTAGTTTACCCATGTTCCAAAATTGAGAAAGGGGCCTTTAAAAATCTTAACTAAACCGGTTGCAAAGAGTGAAATCATGATTTCATACTGCGCCAGTTTTGGTTGAAATCAGTAAAATTGCAAACAAATGACAAAAAAAACCATAGCTGAGCATCTGCTGTTGTCGTGTTATCTAAAACAAACTGGAACACACAGATCTGGCTGAGGTCTTTGTGCTCAGACTAACAGAAAATTATCCTCCACAGACAGATTTAGAATAGATGACTAGTGCTGGAATTGGTTACAAAAGCTTAGCTTGAAACCGTCAATAAAACCCATCATTTCAATTAAGGGTGTGCATTCGAGATGTAGATGGATAAACTTTTTTTCCAACTCTTTTTTTCAGTTTTTCTTTTATAGACAGAAGGATATGAGGATAAATACACAGGAGTATAAATCCCTCTTTCCCCATTTACCTGTTACCAACACACCCCCACATCTCCCAAATTCCCCAAATTACTTTCGCAATACAGATCTCAAGATTAGAAAATGCCAAAAGGGATAAACCAAAACATCAGCAATACAATGGATCTGTCAGTCCAAATCCGTCCATGTTGATCTGAGTCTTTTGAAGTTTTATTACAATTTTGCAAACAGGTTTATTTTTGCTAAAGATTATAATGTTCCTGAGAGGAATGGTAGGATGACATTTCATTTTAAACAAACTGACAGACTTGGAGGCCAAGATGACTCACATGGATGTTATTTCTAGATGTTTTTTTTTTTTTTTTTGGGGGGGGGGGGGGGGGGGGGGGGGGGCGGGGGGGGGGGGGGAATCCAGTAGCATACATAAAGCATAGATCCTCCGCTCACCATCCTTACGTCCTACTCATACAGTTGTTATGTATTGTCTGTATTTGGTGTCCGCTCACCATCCATACGTCCTACTCGTACAGTTGTTACGTATTGTCTGTATTTAGTGTCCTTGTATGTATTTGTCTGCATCAGACGTTCTTTAAATTTTGCCAACACACTCCAAAATTAAGGAACAAAAGTTTTATCCTAACAATACATTGTGCCTTTTCATTCTTTGTGACCCAGTGACTTGAATCCACAATATGCCTCAGCAAACTTTATAGCTGTCTGGATCTGAGCCTGACCAAACTATTGCCAAATTCTTTGTATCCTCAAGTGGCTCCAGTAGCTTTTTCTAACTTGAGCGGCCACTGGACGACAAGTGGTGAGTAACACTTCATATTACAAACACAGCAGATGGCTGAGAGCAGATATGGCTTATGAGCACTGTGGCACTGTTACTGAGGGCTTTTGCTGCTTGCTTTATCATCAACTATGGTGACTATGGTGGCTGGCTAGCTCTCTGTGTCAGCAATGGAGACAATGGCACTGTGTGTGCATGTGTGCATGGTGTGTGTGTGTGTGTGTGTGTGTGTGTGTGTGTGTGTGTGTGTGTGTGTGTGTGTGTGTGTGTGTGTGTGTGTGTGTGTGTGTCTGTTAAGACTGGCTGCTGCTCTCAGGCCCAGCCAGTATTTATTTAAAACCCCAAAGCTATGCTTTAGTTCAACCCTCCCTGTTTACATAGGTTTCACTCCACACACACACACACACACACACACACACACACACACACACACACACACACACACACTGCATCATTATGAAGGCATGTAAGCAGTTTGGCTGCTGTGAGCGAACAGGGTTGTGTTCCACTTTGATGAATGGCTCTACTACTAACTAGATAATATCTGTGTATTTTTTGTTAATCTGCTCTGAGGCTCTTTTCCAAGTGATAAGATGATAACAAGCTCCACTTGGGCTACTTGCATTGTGCTATATCAAGTTGTGTTGGCTTAAATGATTCTGGTCACAGTAGATAATACAAGAGGCAGAAGAAGATAAGAAATATGATGTATCCTGTAACTTTTCAGAGGAAATAGTTTAGTTATCATCCAGACAAATAGCATCCAACCCACAGCCTCAAACAAACATAACAGTGTGCACATTCTCACTGAATTTGTCAATGCCATACTCCTAGCTGTGAAGCAGGCTCGTTTCTCTAAACAATATCTCATTTGTTCTGGAATATTCAATATTTGCTTCTCTGCCTCTAATCTCTTTTAGGCACATTGCATTTTGACAATTTGCCTGAAAACCCATGCAAGCAGGAAGTCCCTTTTGTGTATACTCATCCGCACAGTCCAAGGGTATTACTCATTAAATAAAAGATGCTTATGCATGGTGTGATTGTGTTGCTAACAGCTGCTACTGTCTCTATCCATGCTTTAGAAGTGCTGACTTCTCTCCTCTCTCTCTCTGGCTCATTCCTTCTGGCTGTAGTGCTCCTGGGACAGGAACTGCTGAGCCTAAAGAGATAGTGATTTTGCACACTGCAAGATGTAAAATGAGTGCACTCAGTCATATTCCCCTGTTGGATAAGTAGATTGAAAGTTTGGGATTCAAAAGACGGATTGTGGTGGAATGCCAAAGGATTTTTTTTTCTTTGCATTTTAAACAGGTGAAATATTTGAGAAAATAATTTATACCTATATGAAATCACTTGCTTTTTATGTACATAACAATGTTCTTGCATGATTATGGCCCTCCTTGTACATATCGTATACATGATTATGTTTTGAGTTCGGTAGTTCAATCCTCCATATTTTGTACATATTTTCACACCACAATTCACACATTCACATTAGCCTCCAAGGCGACCGTGACCCTACGCCTGCTGGTCAGATGAACTTGTTTAGAAGAAATATCCCTCTGAATAGCAGCTACCGTGGCCTTAACAGAGACCTGCAGCTGAACTCGACCCTCTTGGCGTGATACAGTGACTGGAGAGGCCTCTGTGAAGGAGAGGAGGTCAAACTGAGGTGAAGTGCCCTGGTTGAATGTTTAGTTGACTGTGTGCTGTTTTTACTGACTGACCCTGAATAGTTTTACAGTTAAAAGCTGCAGGAGATGTTTATAATGTTAGATGAGTTTAATCCTGACTGGCTTACAGGTGTTTATGTCAATATGGACTTTGCTTCCAGCAAATAATACACATAACAGAGGAAACTCGCATTATAATATGCTGGGAACAAAAATAAACTAAAGTAGCAGTGCTAATAAGGAGCAGGTCATCTGTCTGTCATTTGCCACTCTCTTTCTGCCAAGTGAGCACCCTCAGGGACAAGGCTAATTTAATTCCACGTAAACACAACCAGGCAGCAGCAAAGTGCCATGCAGACACCCGGCCCAGTAATCTTGGCTTTTCTGTGTCTCTATTTCGGCTGTTACATAATCACGGTCACCTTGCATGTACTCATTATCATTCAGTTTCCATCCAGCACTTCTTTGTCTGATGGCTGCCTCATTTGTTACGCATGCTCTCTGCAGTTTGAAATTACTGCATATGTAAACACAGAGGATTGTGTAGATAAATGGACACATTATGCATCAGCCATATATTTCTACATATGGCATGCAAGCATGCAATTGTGAAAATGTGTCCATGTACACCAGAGAAAATACAATATGTAAACAACATGTAAAGTCAGTGCTGGTTTCTTTTCATCATACTGATGGAGAAAAAACTAAACTACATGAAAATGTGAAAAATGCATGAATTTTTTGTTCCCCAAAGGAGGAGATTTTGGTGGTGCTCTTTAAAATACAAGGTAAACAAAGTTCAACAAAGTGTTTTAAAGAAAGGTTTAGCTTCATAATGAAATCAGCTATTAGTTATCTGTTTAGAACTACAAAGGTTTTAGCCATTAGTTATATTCTATTTTGTAGTTTAGTTATTGTTAAACTTGCATTCGTGTGATGCAATACCAAGATAAATCCAGTTTTTTTCTACACAGCTCAGAGAAAGTATACACAGTGAATTGTTTCAAAATGCTGCTCTCACCTGAGATCTCAAAAAGTGTAATAGTATAATTATAGAGTCATTACATGCACTGTTTTAACCTGTCTCAACCACAGTGTTAAAACATGCTTGTTTGTAGGTGAGTGAGTAAGATAATGGCATTCAATGAGACAGACACTGTAAACTCCTGAAGACTATTAAAGTATTAAAAGAAAAACAGAGGGGTTTTCTATCGTCCCTCAACCCCTTAAGTATTTCCTTAAGTATGAAGTTCATTATAGTGATTCCCTAAATTACTATCCACTCTCCCAAGAAGGCTGCAGAGCTCCTCAGGCAAAATGAGTTATGGAACACTTGACGGCAACATATGGCACAATGAAATGAATGAATAAAACA